GTGACACTGAAGACTGGAGTAATGATGCTGAAAATACAGCTGCGCATCACAGAAATAAATTACAGTTTAACAGATATTCACATAGAAAGCACTTATTTAAAATTTTTAAAATATTTCACAATATTACTGCTTTTGCTGTATTTCTGATCAAATAAATGCAGGCTTGGTGAACAGAAGAGACTTCTTTAAAAAAACATTAAACATTAAAAATGTTGACTGGTAGTGTATATTTACAAAAATTTAGAAACAGAAATCCAGCAAGGTTTTATTAATTGTTTCAGAATATAAAAACCAAATTTGATAAATTAGAGAAATATTGCATCTTGCTATCTCATATGGTGACTATCAAACTGACTAAGTGCAGAGTGTAAGCTTCATGAAAATTATAAAATAATAGCAAACTCAGTGGTGCATGAAATGACTAACTCTTTTTCTTAATTTGATGCCTCTTTTCATTAATTAGATTGATTACAATCTATTTCTAAGCAACGATAAGATCTCCTGACAGCATTCCACTTGCTAAAGCTTAGTCGATTAATATTAATAAGGTCATGCTGGCGTTGCTTGGTAACCCTCTCAGAGCGTACTGGACGTAACCTAATTATTAGTCATGACCCAGGTCTTCATAAGCGTCCACCCACTAGCGTCGACCTCGCAGCCAATCAGGTAGGTACTCTGGACAAACGTCATGTCGCGTCATCAATATTCATGAGCCAATCCTGGATCCGGGATGAGGATGCAGCTGCAGCGCTTCTTGCATCCCGTTGGCTGCATCCTCCGTCAATAACGATGCGCTCGGTTCAGAAATGGAGGCTTCACTCCTAACAGCTGTACGGTTTGTCAGTGCTCTTGTTTAGTGATTTAAGAGATCAGAAACAAACAGAGGATTGGCGAATTAATCCAAACATGGTATGTAGCAATAATCTGATTGCGGTTTTACGTGTCTTTTATTTATTCTCGTGTCACTATTCATGTAATTATTTGCTCTGCTGCTTACGGTAGCGTCGAATGTGTAAAAGCGATGGAAATAATGCATGACTCAAATATGTATTATAGGTGAATAATTGCTGTGTGATATAATACATTGATGTTCATCACAGCTCATGTTTTGATTTACGCACAAAAACAACTACAGCACATCTGTATAGATGGCATGTTGAAGATGTAAACAATGAAAAGGCAAATAATGCATTATTCTGCAATTAGTCTAAATGCATATAACATATTATTATATTGTGTTTGAATTGCACAACTGTATAATAGACTTTTTTTTTTGGCAGTATGGTTTTGTGAACCATGCACTGGAACTTCTGGTGCTGAGAAATTATGGTGCAGATGTGTGGGAGGACATCAAGTGAGTTCTCTGTTATATCATAGGCTATTTTTATTGTCACATTCTTATTGTTTTATTTATTATTTGTTTTTGCATTTATGTGCAATCTATATTCTATTTGAAAAACGTGTGTACTGTACATATAATAGATAATATCAGATATAAATGCAAGACTTAAAGAAAGGTGTGTGTGTGTGTGTGTGTGTGTGCGTGCGAGTGTGTGTGCGAGTGTGTGTGCGTGTGTGTGTGCGTGCGAGTGTGTGTGCGTGTGTGTGTGTGTGTGAGAGAGAGTGTGTGGGTGCGTGTGTGCGAGTGTGTGT